ATCTGTATTATCCAGATTTGTCACATATGAGAATCTATTCCGTATATAATGCTCCTTACTTTCAAAGGCAGGGCTTTTCTCAAATAACTGCAAAGAATCAAATTAGACCCAAGACATTCATATGGGAGAAGAACCAGAGACATTTGCCACTTTATTAATATGCTTATAAATTGCTGGGGAAATCACAAAAGAAACGCAAGACGGGATTGAATGGCTCGCTCATTCAACTGGCATTCACTGAGGGCTGGGTTTTCATGTACTGGGTCTTCTTCAAAGCACTGGAAAGATACAAAGGACAATAAACACACATGCTGGTTTCAAAGAGTTCATCATCTAGGCAGGAGGCACCTATAATCGATGTTCATTATTTGCAGATTTCATGTTTGTGACTTGGCCCACTCACTGAAATGTATTTGTAACCTCAAAATCAATACTCTGGGTGATTTTCCAATGTGTCATTTTCCACTGTGCACCAAGCAGTGAGAAACTCAAGTCGCCAACACATATGTTCTTAGCGGAGGTCGACTGAGGCGAAATTGTCTTCTCATTTCAGCTGTCATACTGTGACCACGTGCCCTTTCCATGGTCTGCTCAGGGCCGGGCTTTTCCTATTTGTGTGCTTTCTGTTGGTGATTGCACGTTTAAAATTGCCCCCGTGCACGGTGCCCCAAAGTGTGCAAAGGGGTGGTGTGTCTTACGGAGAAAATGCACATTAGACAAGCTTCATTCACACACGAGTTACAGTGTTGTTGGTTGTGAGTTCAATGTTAATGAATCAAGCCATACGAGGTGCACATTAAATAAGATGTTTTCAACAGAAACACACACAAGACAGAGCCTGGTGAGTGCAATGGTAAAGGTATGAATGCAAATCTACGGAGGCACACCAGAAAGAAGAATGGGCTCCACCCAGGAGAAATGAAGGAGGAGTTATAGAGGGGTTGCTTATGAGTTGGGATTTTAAAAATATATATAAAATAAGTAGAAACTCAATGAATGAACCAGGATGCAAGGTTATTCAAGGCAGATTGGAGCCACGTGCAAAGCAAGGGAAATCTGAAAGAGCCTGACATGCTCCGTGATTGAAAAAGTGATTAAAATCAGATATTTCAGGCCACGGGCTCCAAATCATCCACATGCAGAATTTGCAGGCATGACCAAGTTTCTCTACACAGTTTGGACTATGATTTTTTGCAATGAGGAAGTGTGCGGTATGTCAGCTGTGAAAATTGGCTCAATATTCATAATCAAATCTATTATGCTCCCTCTGAAGCCGGGGCCATGTTTCCGTAGAAACCCCTCGTTACATAAAGGAACCCTGGCCTGTAATTGGCAAGAACATCCACCACCTTTGGAAGCCATTATAGTAAAGCAGGAGGGAAAGCAAGCCCTGTGTAATTCCTGCTGGAGGAAAGTAAACCGGGAGGACAAAGATCAAGATTCCTGGGGCGCCTGGGTGGTACAGTCAGACGAGCATCTGATTCTTGAAGGCAGCTCAGGTCATGATCTCAGGGTCGTGGGATAGACCATGGGGCTCTACGCTCAGTGGGAAGTCTGCTTGGGATTCTCTCTCTCCCTCTACCCCTCTCCCTGTTCAGGCTCTCTAACCAAACAAATAGCTAAATAAATTACTGAATAACTAAATAAATGAAATCTATAAAATAAAATAAAATAAAATAAAATAAAGATTCCTTCCTGTAGAATGGCAAGCAGAGAGCCCTGGAGGGTTTCCTGACCCCGGATCATTCTACCATCACTTCACCTCCTCATCCATGAATCAGCCACTAACCAGCTCAGCCGCAATTGACTCTGACGGTATGGCCAGCATTAATCAAGACACCAGGAGGCAACGGACACACACACACACGCACACACGCACGCATGCACACACAATTACTCTTCCCACCACAGCTGCAAAGCAGTTATGTTTGCCTTCACATCAACCTCCTGAGGTAGGTTTTATGACCTCCGTTTTATAGAAGAGAAAACCCAAACTCTGAGGTAACTTAAGTGCACACAGCCCATGAGTGGCACAACCAGGATTTACACTCTGCTTTGATTTCAAATCGAGCGGAAGTTTCAGCCTTGTCTCAGAGAAGGTCCTTGTCCTCAGGAAACTTGTATACGTGGTGACTCAGAGGGGTAAGTGGCTCAGACAGTTAATTTCATGAGATTTCAGAGTAAAGAAGCATGAGCCCAGATGCCACCACTGGTCGCAGACATCATGAGCCTCAGAACTAGTGGGCCTTGATAGCTAGAGATGGGAGAAGGAATCATCCTAGGTGTACAAGGAAGCAAAGCTTCAGAAGCAGAAATGATCCTTTGGAAAAAGGGGGTTGCTCTGAGAAAAGGAAAAAAAAAAAAAAACACTAATTTGTCCAGAATTTAGAGGAAATGTTCCCCCAGGCCTGGAATGGATCTCAGTGAGATCAGTCCTTGTGACTAGAAGATGCTCATCTTCCATGACCCTGCCATTCCACTCGGTGAATATTAGTGGGCACCGAGTTTGTGCTAAGTATTGTTCTCTGCACTAGGGATGCTTTAGAGAATGTGTTTTCAAATGAAAACCAGAACCTCGTCCCTGGGGGGCAGCCCACAGGCCCCACCCCCCGGTGATGGTATTTTTCACCTGACCATCCTCATTGCTGCCCTTTCTTTCTCCACCCAATCCCCAGGCACACTTGACCTGTCACACTCTGTAGTTGACACTCTGATCGAGACTACCCAGTTGCCTGAAGCTGCCATGGTCAAGGGCAGCCTTCTTGGGCTGGTACCCTGGTTCTTCATTCTCAGCCACTTTGTGCTATCCCCTGGGCCCTGTAGCCATACCGACCCCCTTCCCACCGGGACCTCTCTTTTGTCCCTCTACCTGGAGTGTCCTTGACCCCATTTCTTGCCTATTAAAGACTAACTCATCCCTCAGGGTTCAGCTTAAAAGAATCTGCTTTCCATTTCCCCCAATCTCGATAAATTCCTTCTTGGCCTGGGCCCATACAGCAAATGCCCCTATTTTCTCCTGCTTTCTTTTCTGCTTTGTCATAAACCAGGATTGGCAATCTGTCTGAATCCTCCTCAGGGCCAGGGACCTGTGTCTTTATGCCATCATTTAGCACAGTGCCTGGCCCTGCGTCAAAGCTCGAGAAATCTCTTTTAAAAAATAAATACACGAAGAAGATGCCCTTGAAACTAGAGCAGTTCAATTTAAAGTTAATTTAATTAAGACATTAAGGTTCATTTTAGCAAACTTATACTGTGAATGAAAATTTAATCTCAACCTCCCTGCCCCTTCAATGACAGTTTAATTTCACTATAATCTTTATTATAGTAACCTCTAGACCTGTTATTAGTATTACTAATGAAGTTGAAAGACCATTTCGTCTGATTATTGTGTCTTAGGAAACACTTAATTATTAAATTCCACACTGATAATTAGAAACCCTGTTATTTCATAATGGGCTAGGCAATGCTCTACAGGTATCCGTCAATTACAGAAACAGAAGCCATCTTTTAAGTGTGTGGAAGTGAAGTCTCATACATCAAATAGTCCCTTATCACCAACCTAAGCTATGTTATTATTAGAGACAGACCACGTAAAGTAAGGAGTCTTCCTGTGGTCTGAAATGAGTGTTTTATGGGGGGAATGGCATCTGTGGCTGGCTCATCCTTGTCCTTTCCAGAGCCTGACTAGGTCCAAGGTGGAGAGAATAAGCCAGAAGTTTTGGTGTGTGTATGTATGGGCATACACTAAGAAGGGTCTTCTAATAGAGACATCCCAAGTTAAAATGGATTTTCTTTGCAGAGATTGACAACCGGGCCTGGGCCGGCCATGAGGGGTCTTGACTCCCAAATGAAGAAGGGGAAAGTGTTCGTTCTAAGGACACTTCCAACCAGGAGACTATTTCATTCTAACTAGACTGTGCCCTCCTGGGCCTTCCCTGAATTCTTACCAAAACCCAGCGCTGGAGCCATGCTAGGCAGCTCACAGAAGCTTTTCAGAGTCTGAAGAAGGCAGGGATGACATCACCTCAAGCATGGGGAACTCAGAAAGGAGATGGCATTGACTGAAGTCTCCTGAAGCTCTCCACACTCTGGGACCTGGGCACCTTATGCTCCCAGCCCACACAGCCCCTGAAACTGACCCGGTTCCCCTCACAGGGCTAGGCCCATTGTATGGGCTTTCAGAAATGTTTCATGATGCTCTGGCTCACTGGGAAAGGAAGCAGGAGAGGGCGGCCCCCCGGCCCCCCAGCCCCCCAAGAAGAGCTCTGACTCACAACCTGTTTGGCACCCTGCACCTCTCGGGTTTCCTGAATCTCTCTCTCTTTAATGCAGAAAGCCTTCATGGCAGATGCTTTAAAACAATGATCATGACAGTGACACTCCCTCATCTCCTACACTCCCCTGGCATCACAGAATTTTTTAAAGTGTTTTTGCAGGCTTACTCTTTAGAGTAGTTACGTTATTTGGATTCGAGCATTTGAAAGACTTTTTTGGTGGTCCCATCAGATCCCTGCAGCCCCCAAAGCTAGGAATCTGTTCAAAGTATGAACACGGAAGGACAGGGAGGAAGGCGGCTTCAGAACCCAAAGTAACGTGAGCGGGTGGGAAGAGGTTAGGGCGGTCTGGCTGGGGACACGGGCACTAAATTGAGGGTGGGCGTGAGTGTCTTGGGGTTGATTGCAAGGCCCTTCTCCGGTTTCCTTGGAGGGCACAATGGGTATGAAGGAATTCCGTGTGTAGAAGCAGCAAGGGCTGGTCCCGGCTTGCTCGCGGACGCCAATGCCAAGTGGCCAAGGCCGAAAGAAGGCCGGGGCCACCGTGTGCGGAGGCGGCCAGCACCACTCCCGGGGACGCGGAAGGGGTCGCCGCGCGCGTGTGGGGCTAGGCGGGTGCCGGCGCGGGTGGGGAGCCCCGGGGGCCGGGGCGGGCCGGGGCGGGGCGGGGCGGCCGCAGCGGGCCGGGCTGGGGGCGGGCCGGGGCGGGGCGGGCCGGGGCGGGGCTCCGGGGCCGTCTCGCAGGCTGCGGCGGCCGCGGGAGAGGCGTCCACAGCGGCGGCAGCTGGGGCAGCGGCGGACGCGCGGCCGAGCAGGGCGGCGGCGACCCCGGGTGAGCGCAGCGCGGACGCGGCGGGGGCGCGGCGGGGAGCGCGGGTGGGGATCGGCAGGGACCGGGGCTCGGCAGGCGCCGGGGAGAACCCTGCCATCCTTCCCCAGCTCCCGATGCCCCTGCAGCCTTCAGGGGAGGGAGGGAGGGAGGGAGGGACGGAGAGCGGAGGACCCAGTCCTACAGTCCTTCTCCTGTGATCGCCGTCCAGATGTCCGTCTGTGCGCCCGTTGCCCCGCTCCCCAGGACTGCTTCCCGATTGGTACAGGTCACCCCCGTCACCCCTCAGCCACTCGGTCCCCCGGCCCCCCAGGTTTCCCCGCCCCCAGCCAGGTATCTTCAGCTCCAAAGCCGTTCTTCCAGGACACCCTAACCTTCTGCTTCCCCATTCCCACCACCAGAGGCCCAGGCTCCCCGCCTCTCTCTACAGCGCCAGAGGCAAGGATGACCCCCACCCCCTTACCCCCAGTGCCTGCACACCTGGACCCTTCTGCGGCCACCTGCCCTAGATGTTCTTAGCCAGTCAGCGCACTGCTGTGTCTAGGACCCGGGCCTCCTGGCCCCATCACCTTCCTCCTCCTGAGAATCCCAGTCTGGCAAGAGGGACTTTACAGATCTTGGGCTTTGGGAACAATCTGACCCACTTGCCAAAAGGCTGGTCCCAGGCCAGCCGTGCTATTTGGTGGAGACACCTGTCTTGCCTGCCAGCCAAAAGACTAAGAAGCCTCTGTCAGAATGGGCCAGTGGGTTCCCGGATCCTTCTTCAAGCTGTCCTGACTTGCTGGCCCGTGTTCCCAGGGACCAGAAGAAACCCTTTGTCATTTAAGACCTCCAGGGGTATTTGCTGAGTCCACCCCCAGATCCTAGGAATTCCTCCAGCCACTGTGTTGGGTGTGTAGAGTCGTGCAGTGACAGGTTACCCTTCAGGGCCTGGTCTCCTCACCCGTGTCCTTGTTTCCCTGCTTGTGCCCCAGGGACTCCAGGGGCAGGTGTTTGGGACCTCGGTCGCCCCCACAGCTCTGTGGCCCTCCTGCCTTACTCTGTTGGAAACTTTTCCCGTCTTTCACTATCACCGTCCCTCTGGATAGGGCCTGGGCCATCTGCATTGCATTGAGTCCCCAGGGCACAGCAAGCTGGGCTGGGACCGGGAAAGGCTGGGACCTGTGCTGCAATGAAGGGCCAACAGGAGGAGGGGTGGCTGCTAGCCAGGTCAGGCTGAGCATCTGGGCCTGGGGACTAGGGCTTTGGGGTGGGTCTGCGCTTTCACTGAGCCCCGAGTGGGGTCCCAGGCTCGCTTTGCTGTGATGAGAGGAGGCAGAGCAGGGGCTGTTTTTCCTGCGTGCTTCTGACTGTCTTGTGTTGCTATGGTGACAGTTTTGCCTCTCTTCCTCCTTCTGACTCTTCTGGGAGCTGGTTTTTATTGGTCTGTTGTCCTGTCTTTTATGACTCTAATTTCTCCTTTCTACTTGCTCTGAAATAAACAGTCATAAACATGGGCACTGGGCCCAGGCTGGGGGCTGGCATAACTTCACCTCCTCTGGCCCTGGGCTCCTGCGAGGGGAGAGAGGTGGGGACAGACCTGCCCACACTGCCTCCTGTCTCCAGCTCTGGGAAGCGGGCAGCACCTCCGTCTCAGGCACACCATGCCTCCCATCCTGCCTCCGTGCTAATAATAGACTCCATGTGTAGTGAAGGAGCTCACTGATGTTCATGACAGCCCTGTGGGCTCGGGGCTGTCCCCACTTTGCAGATGACAAAACCAAGCTCAGAGTGAGCCATTTCCCTCAGGTCACACTGGATTTAGCATGTAGTCAGAGTTCAGTTTTTGTTCAACGAATGGAACAGTGATGGAGCTGGCCCCAAAGGCCCATGTCCTGACCTCCCACCCTGTAGGCTTCCTGGTCTTGCTCCTCGCGGGACAACAGAGCCCCCTAAGCCCCATGTTCTGGGGTGCCACGTACTCCCACAGTGGCAAGCTGCCAGGGGACTGCCTGTCAGGTCTTTGGTGCACCTGTGACCCTGACTGTTGGAGACCCAAGTTGAGAGGAGAGTGAAGCCACTTGTCACTTCCTGTTTTTTTACTCAGCACCAAGAAGCATTCAGTTTGCTTTTGCTCTCAGGGCCTAGATGCAACTGGGTAAGTCAGGGGCACTGAGAGCCAAGTTAACCCCCACCCCCCACCCCCATCCCAGCCAGCCCGGAGTGAGGAGTTCAGAGTTGGCCAGGGCTATAGGTCACTGACTGTCAGCTGTCAGTGACACTCTCCAGAGAAGCTGCCCCCTCTCTTCCCTTTTATTTTTGCTTTTTTGCATACTTTCTTCTTTCCCACCGCCCTGCCCCCACCTCCACCCCAGCTTTGCCTATCTATGCTCCAGGCTTGGTAACATGAAAAGACTAGGGAATCAGTAGCCTCATTGTCAAATGTTGGCCCTGGAGAAGTCGATTCACTCCTATGGGCCTCAGTTTACAGTCTTTAAAACGGGTTTGACAGCATCTGTTCCAATAGCCGTGTTTGCTTGTTCCTGAAGGATGGCAAGGAGTAGCCTGTAGGGGGTGTTTTGAAGGGTTGAAGCCCTGAAGCACCTATAATGCTCTCATCCCGTTGGGAAATCTCAGTGTTGAAGAGACCCTGAACTATTGCCTGGAGATGGAAAGCTGGTCTAGGAATCATTAAGCCGCGACATCTCAGGGTTGGGAGGCATCTTCTGAAGTCATCTTGTCCAACCTTGATGTTGAATTCACTTCTTTCATCCACTCGACCTTCAATGAGCATCTACTCTGAACCAAATACAGTTTTGGGAACTGCACATTTAAAACCCTGTCCGTTATTCCTCTTCTCAAAGAATGAAGTCAGACATAGAAAGAGATCCTTATGATACGTCAGAGGGGTGGTGCGATGAAGGACAAGTCAGGGAGAGGTGGGGCCCCAGACAACTTGACTAGGTCACCCATTAATGTTGAATCAGACATCTTGTGCTTGGTGGCTACAATTTAGTTGTTTTACCACTGCCCACTTGGGGAGCCCGAGTCCACGCCGCACGGCGATGGGGTGATTGTTCCAGAGCCCCTCCCTTGGCTGGTGAGCAGGAACAGCAGAGGCCCACGGCCAGGAGCCAGTCCTGCCTTCCTTGCTGAGTTTCGACTCATCGACCCATGGTATCCCCTGGTTCCTACTTCATCCTGCTTATAATCCTTTCTCAGAGGCTGCATGATTTACCTGACAGTGCAGAACGGTGATGGGCAAGAAGTAGATTTTGGAGTCAGCTATGAATCCAGACTCTGCTGCTGCTGTATCCCAGCTGTGGGATCCCGCAGGGCTGTCTAACCCCTCCAAGCCTCAGTTTTCGTACCTGTAAAATGGTAATACTGATACTTGCCTTCTAGGAAGGAAATAATCTCATGTCTTTATGGCATCTGGCATGGTGCCTACCTCACAGTAGACTTGCCCTTATTTACTTTCATTGATTAGAAAAGAGTTCTCAGTTACTGGGCCTCTGGGCCCTCTTAGAACGGAGGTGGGGAGCTCTTTGGACTAATTCTGGCCTTCGGAGATCTATTCATTATCTGGAAAGTTTAAAAATTGCCCATGTTCCAGTCCCTCAACTGCTGGTTAGTCTGCGAGATATCGCTCAACAGATAAACTATGCTCCAAACATGATGAGTTTACGCAAATCACCAACTTTGTTTTCTCAAAGAGGAATGAATTTGAAATAGCCAAAAAACCACTCTGAGTTCAAGAATATGTTACTATCTGTGAGAATACTGTAATTTGCTTCTTTGCCTTTGATTTTATTGTCAAATCCAAAAATTCATTGTCCAGAACAGTGTCAGGGAACTTATCTCCTGTATGTTCTAGGCCATTTATGGTTTCAGAACTTACTTGCAAGGTTTTAATCTATTTCATGTTCATTTTCATGTACAGTGCAAGGTCATGGTCTGGTTTCATTCTTTTGCATGTGGGTGTCCAGTTTTCCCAACACCATTTGTTGAAGAGACTGTCCTTTCCCTATTGTATACTCTTGGCTCCTTTGTCAGAGAACCCTTGAAAATGAATGTTTCATATGTTTTATACTGGGCGTGTTTAGCTTCTTCCCCCCCCCCCAAGTTACCATGTTACATTGTAACATGTACCATGTTACATTGTAAGGTGAACCATGTTACATTTTCTCAAATCATCACCAGAACTCTGTGACCTTAGTATTCTTGTCCCCTTTTCCATAGTTAGGGAAAGCGGGAAAGGCAAGGTAACTGGCAGGGTCTATCAGCTAGTAAGGGACAGGGCCAGAATTTAAAACTGGGGCCTGCTTGCACTTTCCGCCATAGTATACAGTCTTGTCATTTCCTTGGCTGGTGTGTCAGTGACCTAAAATAATTGTGTTTGGAGAAGGAGAGCAGATTTCAACGGGAGTGGAACTGGTCAGTAACTTAGACTCGTAGTAAATATTTAGAGACCTTTAATAAGGATTTTGCTCTCAGCGTAGCATTAACGAAGCTTTGTGTGGTTGGCTGAGGCCTCATTCCTAGAAGTGATGAATGGAGGAGGAGTCTGATATGTCTTAAGAGAAAATGTTCGATGATGCTAGAAGTAGCTTCTTTTGCTCAAGAACGGATTGCTGGTTTGTCATTGAAATAAATTGAACTGATTTTATAAGTGAACATACAAATGGAAAGCATGACAGGTATGTCCCGGGAATATCTACGGACCAAAGCAACAAGGTCAGGAAATGTGGGTGGATGGCTTTTAAAAGGGAGGGTGGTTTGGATGCAGGCTGGCATCATAACCCATGTCTAGGAAGATGGAGGTGCTGAAAAGTGATTGGAAAATTGCTCACTCCTGGCCTTTCTCAGGTAATTTAGAAGCCTGATTTCCCCGGTTAGGAAGCCGTTGTCCCAGTGAATCCAAGTGCTGAGAATGGATGCCCTGTTCGCCCAGCAACGGGCTTCCTGGGTCCAGTTTAGTGCTGCAGACAGATGTGCTTCTATTTGCAATTATCTCAGGGCCC